CTTACTTTGGCAGCGCTTCACATGAACTCTGAGGGAGTGGAGATATTGCTGAAAGCTGGAGCTGATACAAGACAACCTGGCAAAAGCGGCATGACTGCACTGCACCACGCCGCTGGACTTGGACTTACCGACGCAGCGCGCAGCCTTTTGGACCACGGCGCCGACATCGATGCAACCTGCTCACGTAATTCGCTATTCTTTGGACAGACTGCACTGCACTGCGCTGTCCGAGCAAACCTGACGGACATGGTCCATCTTCTGATTCAACGTGGGGCCAGTGTGGAAAGGCAGACATCCTTCGGAGACACGGCGACGTTCATCGCCTGTTACATGGGTCATCTCAACGTCCTTGAGTGCCTAATTCAGAACGGTGCCAACATTTCAGCCTTCAATCCGAATGATAAATCAACTGTACTCCACGTAGCGGCAAAACGTGGGCACCACTCCCTCATTAGACCTTTGCTAGCAGTTCAAAGGGGCCTTTTGAACGCCGTGGATCAGAACAGAGATACCCCACTACTTGCGGCGCTCTACAAAAGTCAATCAGAATCAGCCAAGATACTTCTTCAGTCAGGTGCTCGTTCGGATGTGGTCAATGTCAGCTATTCTACACCCTTACAAGTTGCCATCAACCAAAAATGCTTGGAAGTAGCCAAGTTACTACTGCATGACTATCAAAGTGTCCCGGATCAGCCTGGGCATCACAGAAAGACGGCACTTCATTACGCTGCGGAGAGGGGTCTGGATGATCTGCTGCGGTTCTTTCCAAGCCAAACAATATGCGCAGAGGCAAAAGACAAGAGGGGATTCACACCTTTCCACGTTGCAGCTGCGAATAATCATCATAGGTTCATTTCCTCTCTGATGAAACTAGCACCTCACTCTAATGTAACAGGCGTTAGTATTGATGGCTGGACGCCCCTCCATTTGGCGGCTCGGGAGGGCGCCGCAGATGTCGTCAAACTCTTATCAGCATCGGACCCTTCCAACCGCAACGTCAAAGATTTCAAATGTCGACTTCCGGTGCATATGGCTGCTCTGTCTGGAAATAAATGCTGTGTGGCAGAGCTTATCACTTCCGAGACAATCAATTGCCAGGATGCCGACAGAGCAACACCTTTGTGGCTCGCCTGCAGGGATGGCCACCATGACGTGGTAAAATACTTGATTGAGCAAGGTGCCGATGTCAACACCACAGACGGGTGGATGCCCCACATCTTCATTGCTCTCAATGAACGCTATTTTCAAGTTGCGAACCTTTTGCTGGAAAACAATGCGGATCAGAATACAGAGGACATATGTGTAAATGGTGTCACCCTATTCCGCCTTGCGGCACGCTCTGGAGACAAAGACCTTCTCAAACGCTTTTCGAATCACGTCCATAAAGAACTCCTGACCACTTATGGCAATGAAGAAGAACTTACGTTCGATGTACGTGGATGGGACGCCATGTCTCATGCCGCGAATGTTGGCCACGCCAACATGATCGACATTCTCCTCAAACTGGGAATACCGATCGATGGCCTGGGACAGAGTGTGATCAGTCCTCTTTCAATGGCCGCACAATATGGGTACACAGATTTCATCAGCAAGGCAGTCTCACAAGGCGCTAAAATACGAAACATGGATTACGATTGGACCAGGAGGTTGGGAAGAGATTCGCTAATTCATGCGATCTTGTATCGACGAAAGCAAACAGCAGCCATTTTGCTCGCCCATGGTGCTGATCCAACGATCAGAGACGTTTTCGGAAACTGCGCGATGGATTATGCCGCCAAATATCCACATCTACGGGAGTTGTTTAGTTCCCGGAAAGACGATCTATCTTCGCTGAGTTCAACTCTTCGCATTCAAGCCAAAAAACGTTTCATCGTCGAGGTTGCCCAGAATACCAGCCATAATAACAAAGATGTTGAAAGACACCAGGCGCTAGTCGAACTATCAACGGCATTGCTCCTACGAAACACCCGATCCAGTATCGAGCAAGCTCGTCTCTGCAAAATTGAGCTGAAAGAGCGACATTGGAAGGGGCGTCTTGAATGTGATTTCTGCTCCGAGCCCGTACTGATACCTTCCTATCAGTGTGCGGTTTGTGAAGATTTGGATTTATGCCGGACTTGCTATAAGGACTATTGTTCTTCTACGCCACCGAAAACGATACCAGAGCAAGTTCGAAGGTTATGGAGACTGGAACGTGAAATATTTCCAGTTCTTCGAGTAGCAGAAGTGTTCCGCACTTATGGTGCCGAGACACTTCCAACTTGTTTTTGGTTACTAGGGAGCTTCGCCGACGACTGGATAGACGCAAAGACGAAGGGTTATTTGCGGTGGGCAAAGCGTTGCAAGTTGCGAACAAAGTGGGGACCATTGAAGCCACCTGGGTGGCGTTTTGTTGACCTCCTTGATTGTGTACGGACGTTGAAGTGGCTCGATCCACAAGAGGGGAGCGAACTACAGGCCGCTCAAGCCCAGCATCTCAACAACATTCACGCCGAACTATCCAAAATCTATCACCGGTTCAATCCCCGAAGCGAACCAAACAAGCCTACTTGCAACGGGCATCATTTCCTCGAGATCCTGCCTTACAGGAAGCTTTCTTCCCAGGACCAACACCACTTTGACTCGGACGGCCGACTGACGGACGCGTTCTTTGAAGGATTAGTCCGTCAATACTCGGCCTCTGACGACGATACCGAAACCAAGACTGACGGTGTACTAGCCTATGTTGTAGTTACACCTGAATCTGTGAATGAGGTCGAAGAGGATGGTTCCACTTACTCAAATGGCAGCGATGTTCGGATCAAGGAGAAGTTAGGGGTAATTCGTGAAAGTTTGATGAGAAATGCTGGATTGTTATTGGGAAGAGCCCCTGGTGAGGCTCGGCATCAATTGAATACTCGCGAAGTTGCTTGGAAGTTGGCACATGCCATGCTTCAAATCCCGTACGAGAGATCACTGTCTAGTTTGTCTTCACCCGAAGGGTAACTGTTTTCTTACGCACTTGAGCTTTGGGCAAAAGACCTGAATTCAAATTTCCTTCCTTGTGCGCTTGGGTAAAAATGCTCTTGTTGCATAGGATAGTCACCCTAAAGGCGGACGCCAATGCTCATCTTAGTACATACCTTACATCAGATTGTGTAAGATAGTCAAGTCCAGAGCTTCTTGGCCTCCTTTTCTAAGTCATGCTTGAGACTTTCATAGATCGTCACCGACTTCCCGTCAAGAACTTCCTTCAGGAAGGCCTCGAAGGTAGTAGGCTTAAAATCTGGGTACAGCTTAGTGCCATCAATGTACCCGAGGAACTCGGCATATTGCGGCGTGTTATCTCCGCGCACGCCCATCGAGTACCAGTACTCATAGAAGATCTTCATCCTGTGATCAAATGCATTTTCCATAAGGGCGCCTGCTGTCAAAGATTCGGTGACGGCGGCCTCCATAGCCTCAGCAGACATCTGGGAAATAAAAGCAGGTCAGCCAAAGTGGGCCATATCTAATTCGCTGTAGATAAACTGTCGATAAACACTCACGTAGTCCCGCTTGGTAGTTTCGCCACTCATCTTGTCCAGCATGTTGAAAACCTGATTCTGGGAGAGAACGGCGCCGTAGACAAGGACCATTTTGTTGATGGTGCGAGGATCGGCGATGATGCGCGCAGTGATCTTTCCAACGTCTCTCACGTCCGTCAACGCAGATGTAGTGTTGCCATCTCCGGCGATGAAGTTGACCGGCAAGGGCGTAGCAGAGTCGATACGCCCAGAGGGGAGGCGCGGGATGCTGAGTTGGTACCACCAGCCGACGTCAATGACTGTGTACGGGAGGGAAATTTTCTTTGCGTGGAGAAGAGCCTCTTCTTTCTATGCCAGACACAAGATTTAGCGCAGACTTCGGGATTTACGTTCTGCTAGAAACTCCTTACCAGCTTGCGCAGTGTTAACACGCTCTTGGGAGGCGCGACGGTGGCGAAGAAGCAGGGGACAAATCGCTTCACGCCAGCGGCCTTGGCGGCATTGGCGAGGGGGATCTGGCTTTCCCAGTCCGCTGACGTGGATAGTCGAGATCAAGGCATCGACGTCCTTGAGGACGTTGACAAGCTCGGCTTGCGGGGCCTCCAGATCAACACTAGCGATAGTAACTCCCCTCTTCTCGAGGGCGACAACGTTGGGGTTCTTGACGGAAGCGGGTCGGGTAAGGGCGATGATTTCCTGGTTCCAGAAGTAGTAAGTCTCAGGAACGACTGGAAATTTGGAACGGGAGGTATAATACCAAGTCTATGATGTCAAACTCAAAAAGAGCGTTGATGATGGAGGTGCCCGTCTCCCCTGATCCGCCTACGATAGCAACCTTCATATTGGCTGCGGTATGTAAGTAGGAGATTCGTCAAAAATATCAAGACTATTGCTCAGTCGACTACACCAAGTCGACAACAGCTGAATTAACAGATTGATTACAGTCGAAGTTGTCGCTCCTTATAAGTCGCAGGGTGTGGACAGACTATCAACGCTAATTGAACTGAGCGACGAATACAAGTCCGCAACTGATTCGTACAGGCGAAAGCGAAAGCGAAATACAAAGTCCATGATAGACCGTATGATCTATCAAGGATTATTTCCGCAGCACTTCGTACTGCTAATCTGGTACCAAGTGAAAGTCCGCCGCTGATTTGTAAGATTGTGCGGAGTTGGCTCTGTGGGCCGCATCGTCAAACGCCAAGTCCACCGATTTATGTACTACCACCTACCTACCAGATGAATCATGCTAACTTCTGCTATTTCAGACACCTCTTCTATTTTGACAAACCTGAAGATATCTTAGAACTGCCTGTGCCGCGCCTGGTGTGACTTGCTCCGATGCTGGCTGGCTTCGATGTAGCTTGCCGTGTGAGTCAGACCCCGAAGGCAACCATGACGACCAACCTTTACGTCCCTTCGTTTCCTCTGGTAACCTTGACTCACTACATAGACCTATCTTTTGGCCTTAATCCCAACAGCAAGAAATAACAGTCTCTCGTGGTGTAGTGGAAACATACGTTCTTGTCGCGGACGCGCCCCTGGTTCGATTCCGGGCGAGAGAGATGTCTTTTTTTGTTGTCTGTTGAGAACCTACCTAGTATGCATTGGATGATGCTTTTTGCCCCCGTGATGACCATGCCACGCCAACCAAGACTTTATTTCCTTCTTCTAATCAATATTTTTGCGCAACTCTTACTGAGTATAGCTGTGCTTAATGTGACGTGCCTTGTCCCGAGCTCCTTCTGCTCGACCTCGCCGAGCGGAACTCATGGTTGATGTCGCAGCCGGCTCCGAATCTACGGCCCCACCTCCCCGAACGCAGCCACGCCACGGAGAAGTATTGATGTCGGCATGCCAGACAGTGGTCTCTAATCTAAGCATATCCGAAGGGCCAAAGAATCATGCAGCTCGCCTCAATTCACTGAAAAGAGTACGTTCCATAGGTACCTCCAAGAGGCCGTCCACATAACTGGATGTCCGAACGAGATTCTTAAAGTTTCATGAGTCCGTCTGACATCCTCACGTGTGTACACCGAATGAGCAAGAATGCTTCTCGTAAGTCAATGACTCAATTATTTGTAGCGATTATCAACCTATACACATGCTGCCTCCTTCGCTTGTTGAGAACCGTTATTTTGTGAAGCCAATCAGACCCTAGACTTATTTGTGACATCCTCCACAGCCTCAGCCTGACCAGTCGCCGTCTTACGCTCACCAATCGGCTCCATGTCCTCGTGGTGAATAACCTTCTCAACAGCACCGTTGGCCTGCTCAGCAAGAGCCTTGTCCTCAAACACTGGGAGCAAACGGTCAGCCACGTCATCTTCGTCACACGCATCATACACCAAGACTTACAGAAAGCCAGCTCCTCGAGCGTGCGCCCCGCCGTCTCCGGGAACATGAAGTACACAAACACGACCTCGAACGCGAGCCAGCAGCAGTAGCTAATCAGGTACCGCCAGCTCGCGTTCTTGATGCCGATGGGGTTGACAAAGGTGGTGAAGAAGCCGGCCATGCGGCCGAAGAGCTGGAAGAAGGAGATGCCGCGCGAGCGCAGCGCGTACGGCCACAGCTCGACGAGGTAGGTGTACGTGAGCGCGTTGTAGCCGATGTTGTAGCAGGGCGAGTACATGAAGATGAAGAAGATGGTCGCGATGGAGGCGGACTGGTTCTTGTAGTCGTTGTCGAGGGCGTGCACGGCGCGCTCCATGGAGATGGTCCACGAGATGTAGCAGAGCAGCAGCGAGATGGTGCAGGCGAGGTACATGACGCGACGGCGGAAGCGGCGCACGAGCAGCGCGACGGTGACGCCGCAGACGAGGGACCAGCAGGCGATGCCGACGTTGATCTTCTGCTTGGTGAGGGAGTCGTTCATGCCGATCATGCCGAGGAGGTCGCCTGGATAGGTGGTTAGAAAACGACACTCTGGGAGCCGCCACGGGATGTTTTGGAAGGGCAATACCTAAGTAGTATGAGATGAGAGTGTTTCCACTCCATTGGGTGAAGAGGCCGAGCATGGAGGTGATGAGGCAGCGGCGGCGCATGCCAGCGGTGCGAAGGAGGTCCATCCAGGATTGCTTGGAGGCCTCCATCTCGAGGGTGATGACGGTCTTCATCTGGGCGATCTCGGCCTTGACGAACTCGGAGTTGGGGTCGCCCTCGGCGTGGTACTTGACAAGGATCGCGTTGGCCTCCTCGGTGCGGTCCTGGGTGATGAGCCATCGGGGGCTCTCGGGGAGGAAGCTGGGGCGCTCAACGTTAGGTGTTGTCACTGGGGATGGGGAGAAGGGAGGTAATGTGGATGTGGTTGGCTTACAAGACGAAGCTGATTTGCAGGAGAGAGGGGCAGATCTGGAGCAGAGACGGGATGCGCCAGGACCAGTTGCTCGCGATGTTGTTGGTGCCGAAGCAGATGGCTGCTGCTGTGATTTGGCCAACAAAGTAGGCGACGTTGAAGCTGTAGAGCTGTCAGCTGCATTCTGGAGGTGTCCGAATATTGAAATGGCTTACAGAGAGGTGAGAACTGGACGTTCCTTGGGGTATCCGAGTTCACCGATCAAGGATGAGCCAGAGACAATACAGGTCGGGATACCAAAGCCGAGAATCATGCGGGCGACGATGTACATGCCGACTATTGGAGCATGAGCCATCACGATGAGTAAGTGTGGTGCAATGCTACTGACCATGTTGTGAGAATCCTTGGATCAGAGCTCCCAGGATCATGATACAGCTGCCGCCAAAGATGGACCATCGTCGTCCAAACTTGTCGTTGACGATGGGGATGAAGGGAAGCGACAGGATCGCTCCCAGCGAGTACGCAGCCGCGATGATGCCCTTCAAACTACCCTCAGGGTTCCCGAAATCTAGCAGGCACAGTCAGTCTCGGCGATGCTTCTCTGGCTCTCATCGTCCGTGCGACTACTCACAATCCTTCCATGGCTCGACGATCTGCAGCGCATTGATCATTTGCGAGTCGAAGCCGGACGTCAGCTCGATGCCCATGCACGTCGGGAAGAGCATCAGGTAGAGGTATCGCAGGTTCGGCTTCCGGTACCACGGCACCTTGTCCTCCTCCGAGATGCGGGTCAGGATGGGGTCCGCGGCCCCGGTCTCCTGGGCGCGCTTGATGGCAACCATTGTCGCTGGTCAAGACCTCGCAGGCTTGGATGTTTCTTAACTTCGGTGAGTCTGAGTCCGAAAAGGCGGTCGAGGCAGAAACGACGAGAGTATCGCGGACGGTTGGGGACAACAAAATGGAGAGAGAGGGAGATGGGCTCGATAGAGAGGTTATATCCGCTTTCATACAAGACGGGAGTATATACTACCGAGTCCAAATCGCCTGGGGTTTGTGCAGGCTACGGATACCAGTGCGTAAACTTCCTCGATCCAATTTCCAATACCAACGCGTCTGCTCGACGTGGTCCCACCCCGTCCGTCTTTATATGCCATAACACCCGCCAGTGTTACCCCATGCTCGGATTCCCGTCTGACCTGCTTCTCCAAAAGCAGACGCAACAACACTGAGTACCGGGCATGGGGGTGGTTGGTTGGTTGGTGTGTGGTTTGGAATAGTCCCGAGGGAGGGCATGCTAAGGCGGGAGGACGGGAGTGCAAAGCGACGCCCAGGTGGTTGAAGGCCCGAAATGAAATTTGAACGTTGCAGAAGAGCCGGATGGTGCCAAGAGGCCGGGGTGTTTGTATTTATCCATCCAGTCAGATGGCGGCGCGGTGCATCTCGAGGCTCCATTCAGTTGCTTTTTTGACGGGGGGACCAGGGAACGCAAGCGGCGGTCCTCCGACTCCAGGTTCGAAGGGAGCCACTCAGAATAAGACTGCGGGGAAGAAAAGGGGGGGAAGCTGTTCTCCCCCACACTTGGTTACACGGGTTTCTCCCCCATGGGCAGCGCTCACATGGCCAGATGTTGGATGGTTTGTGCTTAAAATATGGGTGGGTGAAGGGCGGTAACTCCGCATCTTGTTTGGTGAACCGTGAGGGGGAACGACGACGCAACGGGCCAGCTCCAACTCTGGATATGGGGAATGGCTCAATGTCGATGTTGGTTTAAACGAGGGTTGCTTGGCGATAACGGGGGACGGTGGCCGTATTCGGTGATTCGGGACGAACCTCGAGCGAATCATACCCGAGGTTCTGGCGGAAGTCCGAGTTGGAAGCCGGGCTTCTGTCTTACGACCTCCCACAATGCTTGCCAACATGTTTCTGGCAGGTTAAAAAGGATTCATCCGTTTTCAGGAGGTTTTCTGGCAAATGTGATTGTGGAACAGGGCGAGTGACTCTCGAATGTCCGACCTCTGTCCAGTGTTGTATCGAAACCTCCATGTCAGAATGGCGGCATGGCGCTTACACGAGTCCGAACATGCATACGAAAAGAGCAAGGTGATCGGGGGTGTTGAGAATGCAGGTGTGCTCATGCGGACCTCTGCCGAGAGCGCCTCCTCGCGGCACAGCTCATCTAGCTGAGGCGGTAGGGGCAAGGGCTGCGGGGGATCAACGCTTTCTTTTTGGGAGTTGTTCACACTTTTGAGTGTGCCTCAAAAGCGCCAGGCATGCCAAGATGGTGATTGAAGTGGCATGCTGGCCCATTGGGTTGTCAGGTCAGTGCTACTGTGATCAATTACTCCACATGGAAGAATGGATGGACCCAAGACGGCCTTGCTGGAAGCGGTCCCGGCAGAGTGGTTTGACGGAACGGCGGAGATGTAACCTTACCATGAGAGCTTCAACACGAGGACGGGAAAGCATGGTGCCTTCTTTGCTTTTCAGTTCTCCATCCACTACAGAGAACGGATGGTAGTAATTAATGCTAATTCAAGGAACAAAACCATTAAAGGAGGCATTATGGCTCTACTTCATAGAGCAAGATTGTCCAAACAAAGACGGGATGAACATCGCAGGGTGTGTCGCCCGGCTGAGGTGATATGCAACCTCCAATTTTCCCCAACGCCAAAAACCACCACACCACCCCGGCAGCAAAGCCAGACAGATCCTCCAGTCATCTTTCCCCCCCGCAGGCATAACCACCAGGAAAGAGATATTTCCTTGCGGGGGAGGACAGTACCGCATTCCCAATGGCACACACCATAGCAATCTTCGACTCGTCCGCCAATTCCAACGGTCCCTCTTCTCTCCCACTTCAACCAGAGTCCGGCGGAATAGCGGAATAGCAGACACGCCCCGGCCAATACTTTCCGCGTCAACCACACTTTATCACAGAGGGGACAAACAAACCACCGCCGCATCGTGAAATCACGGAGGCGCACCCCCACAAAACACCACACCGGCAGGGGTGCGCAGCCACTCCCGTCTGCCGGCATGGGGCATACCGTTAGCCGTAAACACCCGAGAGAAGGGCCGATTGCCATGGGGGATTCCTTCGACCTTCGGGGTAGATAACCGGGACGTCGTCCCTGAACTTCTCACCCGATGTCCTCCCATGTCCCTTTCCTCTCACCCAGGACAACCCGTCCGCCAAGGAACGCAAGAGAAGGAGGATTCGACCATGAACGCCACTTACGAGACGAAAACTAGACAATTGACTCGATA